TGCCTTCCACGGCAGCTACGCACGGCCCCTCACGTCGCACGCAACAAGCAAGGTATCATGCAAGTAATAGTGACCCCCCGAGGTTGGTGAGGTTCTTCCGGTCGGCGACGTTGTCTTCGACCTTTTTTTTTATCCACACATTTTTTTTCGTCTCCTTTTTGTATTTCTATATCTGTTGGGTTTGCGAGATGGACCGGTCACTCGCGTCGTTCGCAGGGCTACGGTAGCCTCGTCGGGTAGTTGAACGAGCGACTGATTGGCCCAGTAGCCCCCCGACGGCGACGACTAGGTGATGGTGGCGCCGCCAGACCTTTGGCAAGTTGACGGAGCAGCAACGGTTGCAACAGAGCTTTGCTCGGGANAAGACATGCAAAACATAGAGTACGCCCCCCCCCCCCCCCCCCCCCCCCCCCCCCCCCCCCCCCCCCCCCCCCCCCCCCCCCACCCCACACCCCACACCCTGTCGGTAGCACCCTCTCGATTTGAGTGAGTCTTGGCGCCTTTTATCCCGCTGCTAGACCGACGTGACGTCTTTTCATTGGTCAGCCGCCTGTCGCGCGCGGTCGATGCTAACAATACCCACAGGCACTTTCACACCCTTTGCTTACTTGCTCCTGGCCCGTGCACCACCGCCGTGCTTGGCTTTCCCACACACGATACTAAAACACACCGTCCGACAGACCCGGTTAGTATTCGAGGTGCCCAGCAGAGGGCTGATGGGCTTCGGAGCGGAGATTCGGCAGGAGACCCACGGTAGCGCCGTCGTCAACTCCACCTTTGCGTGAGTCTTGAGCCCTTCCTTTGGCCCACTGATGTTGTGACGGATGGGCGGAACCTGCCGCTGTTCCAAAAGTTGCGGTCTCTCGCGTTTAGTTGCGCCTACCGCTACATGACCTCTCTTTTCTATTCTCTATTTGGTGCCGTTGGCCAGATGCGTGAGGCTTCTGTGATTGAAAGCATCCATGGGGTACGGCGCTTGCCTGCTGCCCGACAAAGCAAGGTGCGTTAGACACCTGTTCAAGGCGAACACGAGGATTAGATGGCTGTTGAAGATGAGCACGTGGATTAAGCGACCCTCTCGCCGCCTACCCACGCCCCCAACCCCCGGCCCACCCTCCCTCAGGCACTCGGCGCCGTTTATGTCCAACCTGGGTGGTCTCAGCCCCGGAAAGCTCGTGGCGACGGCCAACGGAAAGTGCACCGCGCACGCCCTGGCTTCGCTACAAGATAGGGGGAAACTCTTCATCTCCCCTGGACAGGTGCGAGCATCGGATGTGCTTGTTTCGTGTTTTCCGAGTCTCTTTCCTGATGTTGTTTGTGCTCCTCCCTCCCCCCTCTCGCGCATTTCAAAACCACCCCCGCTCTTTCCACCCCCGCTCTCTGGACGCCCCCGGTGTTTTGCCATCGGGGTTGGGTTTTCGTCGCTTGGCAACGACGTTGTAAAACAAGCCGCCCCCCCCGGTGTTTGCCATCGGGATTGGGTTTTCGTCGCTTGGCAACGACGTTGTAAAACAAGCCAATTCACTTCGTGAACTCGGCAACCAGGTTACCGTTTTTTTTTTTTTCCTCCGTTTATTTTTTTTGGGCGGTAACCATAATGATGGTTGAGTAGATCATGTTGTGCGGGGTGAACCCTCACTCCGCGCAAGGGGGATGATCGCACCACGTTGTGTTAAAATGGTCAAGCACCCTCGAGGCAGTTACACAGTGCTTACAACTGTCTCTGGAAGTGAAAGCACCAGAAAATAAATAAATTCATACGCAGCTGTCAACCGTACC